TGATTTTTCAATATATGTATGCACTGTGTAATATTTAAATCAGATTAAACTTCTCTATCTCATTATATGTTTATCATTTCTTTGTGGTGAAAACTTTCAAAATCTTTTCTTCTAACTGACATTACTGCATTCTATACATTACATTACTTCTTATCTATAACACTCTATATACAATAGCACCCCAGAACTTTTTGCTTTTATCTAACAATGGAACTTACTATCTACTAATCAATCCTTCCCCATTTCTCCCTTCTTCCTATGGTTATCAGACCCCAGAGACACTGACTCCACCCCTCTGTCCAATGGGTACTTGAGCCATTCCCAAAATTCCTCAGAAACTATTTGTTTTCTGCTTCTTAGTTCCTTGGCTTATATCCTTTCCTATATCTTCATATCATCTCAGAATAAGTGAATTCTTCCTACCTTTGAAGGCACAGTTTAAAACCTGCCCTTCCATGCAGATGGTCTTTATTGCACACATGTGTGTGTGCAAGTCGATGAAGCAGACATAGCTGGACACACCACATAATGATGGGGGGCATCTTCAAGATTCTGTTTTTTTTTCAAAACCAAGGATTCTTGAAGACTTCAAATGAAGGGAAAGTGGAATCTCGATGCATTTGATCCAGGAACAGAAGTCATATCTACTCTCAGAGAGGTCTGACTTCTGAGAACAGAGTGCAGGTTCTCACTAAGATCTGATTTTGGACCATCTCATCTCCCATTGCATTTTTTATGATATTCAAGGGAACTAGGAACAAAAAATTTGATTTTAGAATAAATCCTGGTAAGAAATTGCCACACCATTAGTATTTCATAGATTAAAACATCTAGCAAAGTACAGCACAGAAAGCCCACCATAGCAAGGTGTCTTTACTCCATCAAGTCTGGCTCCATGAGAGCAAAGACTAAAGCACCTGACAGTTCATCAATACCAGGACTCCCTGGTGGAGGTGATTGTGCACTCTTGGAGGGGAAGAGAAGAGAGTGACTCTCCCCAGTGGGCAGGAGGTTGTTTTCTAAGACTAATGATGGTGATAGTAATGGAGGTAGGAAGAGGCAAATGGATCCTGTGGTTCTTCCCAAAACCTAAACACCCAAACTAAAAGCATAAAAAAGCCATGGCTGAAGGGTTAAGGGAGCAAAAACAAAACAAAACAAAGAAACCACCAACAAACACCAGACAATAACCAGAATAAAAATACTTCTCTATTTTCCCAGCTTTATAATTTTCTTACTTTTGGTCACAAAATTCTTATGACAGTAATTCCTTGGCATAACTATGGAGCCTTTACTCTAGTTAGGCCAACTTTGACACAGCCACAGTTACCAAAGAAGGATAGCAAATACTCTGAATACTTTTCCTTGCCTTTGGATTACAATGATTTTTCCAATCAGCTATCTTGTTCATAATATTTGTGTAGCAAATCACAATTTTAGTTCCAAAATATATAGCTTATACCATGAGGCAGCTACACACACACACACACACACACACACACACACACACAATCAATACACTAGTCTGAGATTTACTTTATTAAACATTACTTACAATTTATGTAATCTCAGGCTATTAATGGATATCTTGGCCATAGCTTAAGTTTTATATTTAAAATATTTCACTTCAGTAGAAGTCTGTGCAACAAACTGCTAGGACACAATGGATTATGATCTGTAAGGAGAAGCAAGAATTTGGGGCCATAAATCCTTACTTTTCTTTATGATAAACCTTACCACTCATGACTGATTTCTTTTGGTTAAGAATTCATCTCATTTTATAACTTATTGAGGAACTAAAATTTTTCCCCCATGAATACGTTTTTATCAGTTGTTCAATATTTTCTAGACGGACAAGAATAAAACAATTTGATTGAAATAGATGCCTAATGGTGATGTGTATGATACTGAAAAAATAAATGCTACTATGTGCCAGGAACTGCACTAGGCCTTAGGGACACCATGATGAATGAGAAATTACTCCAGCAAGTTCCCAAATGGTAGAAAGGACCAACACATTTATGTGCATGGTGGAAGAAGTGCTACAGTGGAGGTCAGTGCAGAGGAGGATAAACAGCTAAGAGAATATGGATGGTCCTAAAAGGGACTTTACCCTTAGAAAATAGATTGATTTGAGGACAAGTTTTAATATGCAGAGGGTATTAGATAAGAATATTGAATAAGGGTCATGTTTTATTTTCCTTTGCTCCAACTCTAGAAATTTTGCTTTTAACATAGTTGATACTTCATAGGAGATAATATGGAAAAATGTCGCAATTTTCCAAAAAGCCAGACACAAACACAGTTGTTGCCCCCGAAAATTTAAAGGTTTCAAGTACATGTGTTATTTCAAATGCACCAGAAGTGGTGCATCTAAAGATCACCAGGCACATTGTGCCAGATGTTCTGGAGAACCATCACTGTGGACATGGGGGCTGGGCTCAGTCATCCTGGGGCAGTTTGCTTCCATGGTTATCAGACACCAGAGACACTGACTCCACCCCTCTGTCCATTGGCTCTGTACTTGAGCCATTCCCAAAATTCCTCAGAAGCTACTTATATTTTCTGCTTCTTAGTTCCTTTGCTTATATCCTTTCCTATATCTTGAATAGCCCTTCATATCTTCTCATCATAAGTGAATTCTTCCCATCTTTGAAGGCACAATTTAAAACCTGCCTTTTCATGCAGATGGTCTTTATTTCTGCAGACAGTAGTGATCTGTTCTACCTCTGAGCTCAAGCACTACCCAGGAGCATAGAGGTACTGTATGGTGTATCATGTGCACGTCAGGGCAAGGTATGTGTTGGACAACACATCAGCTCTAGTGAATGGAAAAGTTCTGAAAAGGGACTCATTTTGAAGTTTCCAATGATAGACCAGCTAGGGGACAGTTCTGACAAATACAGAGGCTGTTAAATCTCAGGAGATAAGAAACCCCGGGGACAACTTGTCTCTGTATTTCTAGTCATACAATACTTAAACTTGGAATAAAAGCCACAGCTTCTTGTTACCTGCAGTTGTTTAGATACATAAGAAAGAAGGTATAATCTTTATATTTTTAAAGTGATGAGGTTAGAAGAAAGAAGAGCTACTCACCAATAGTTTTCAGAAGGAGGAAGGTGAGTTTCAGAATTATGATGTTTTTATTGTTTGGGTATTAAAATATGTTTAAGATTGACTCCTGATTTCCCACACGAACTCTAGAGTTTGCACCCCACTGTGACACAGGAATGGAAGGAATAGTATAAGGGCATCCACCTTAGACAGTTATATGTTAACTTTTCATCTCACCTAGGTATCCTTGTGTCCAATCTGTGAATTAACATGCAAAATCACCACCTTTAAAATATATCTCCAAGTATAGTCATGTAGACCTTACAGTGATAGTCTGTTTACAGTTATTGTCTCACTTAACTTGCACAATAATCCTTTGAAGTATTTATTATTTTTGCAGATTAAAATGTAAAGCTCATCTGTGTTGATCAAGTCTGATACATCTCTAAAGCATGAAACTATCTAAGCAACATTAATTTAATATTATACATCTACTTGACAGCATAAAATACTCTAAGGATAAAAAATAAAATTTTGATAATGTTGTCATAGTTGAGAGATAATCTGTCTTCTGTAGGTTAAATTAGATGTTATTAGAATTAGTATTCTTAATAATGATGAGAAAACAAGGAAACAGGTGGGGAAAAAAGAAAAATTCTTTTGTATGTTGGTGGAATTTTCATGGCAGTAGGATACCAATACCAGCAGTTGGCAAAGAAAGACTTCAGTGTTGGTGGTTACAGGACAATCGATTTGTCTGTAAAGCAAATATAAGTGTTTCAAATATCAATAAAGTCTTGGCACTATTAAAAAAAATAAAATGTAAAGCTCACATAGACTCTACAATGAGTCAAGTGCTTCAGAGGAGTCTTAGAGTTGGGATCAAAACAAAAATCTTGTCACTCATATTTCACTGCTTTTTCTGTCACCTCTGTACTCATGGTGCAACGGAGATTTCAGATTTAGAAGAAAATTACACTCTAGACCTGTTCTGCCCAACAGTATAGCACCAGCTATAGGTGGCTGATGAGCATAGAAATGTGGCTAGTTTGAATTAAGCTGTGGTATAAGTGCAAAATACTCTATGGATTTCAAAATTCGTTCCAATCATCTACCTTGTTCACAATATTTGTGTAGCAAATCACAATTTTCAGTTCCCAAATAAATAGCTTATACCATGAGGCAGCCACACACACACACACACACACACACACACACACCCGCTGGAAACCTTGACATGGAAAAATCATAGTTGATCTTAACAATAGACACATTCTTTATGGAAATCCTGGAAGTAGGGTCAGCTCTATTCAAATATGTCATTGGTAAATGTATCTCAGTCCCTCACCTTTTCTTTATGCATCTCTATGCTGACTTGCTTCAGAAGACCTCCTCCACAATATTTAGAATTTGTCTTGTTTCTAATTTGAGGTGAAAAGTTTTGTCCTTTGCCAAAAGAATTTGTGACACATGAGGAGATGGTAAAGGATATTTATGGCTTGTAAAATTTATGCTAGGAGCTGGGCACAGTGGCTTGTACCTGTAATTTCAGCCACTGTGGGAAATAAAGATAGGAGAATCTAGGTTTGAAGACAGCCTGGGCAAAAAGTTAGTGAGACACTATCTCAAAGAACAAGTGAATTGTGCTGGTTCATGCCATAACCTCAGCTACAGGAGGTGTGGCTAGAGGATTGCAGTCCCAGGCAAAAGTGAGACCCTTTCTGAAGAATAAATTAAAGCAACAGAGCTAGAGGCATGGCTTAAGTGGTAGAGGACCTGAGTTCTCCTGATGAGTACCATCATCAGTAGTGACTTAGCTTAGTGACTATCCTGTCTAAGCTTTGACTTTGGTTTTCATAACACAAAGTCAGTGTTTTCATTGTTAGAAACACCTGGGCTCTGTGGACCTATAGACAAGCTGGTATCCTGCCTGTTTAGTCTGACTTTCTCCTTTCCATCTTCACAGATTCTCAGAACAGAATGGGCATAAGAAATCATTCCACAGTGGCTGTGTTTCTTCTTTCGGGATTAACTGAACAACCAGAACTTCAGCAGCCCCTCTTCTGCCTCTTCTTAGGGATTTACATAGTTACTGTGGTGGGAAATCTTGGCATGATTGCAATAATTAGGTTGAATTCTCAACTTCATACCCCTATGTACTATTTCCTCACTAGTCTGTCCCTTTTAGATTTCTGCTATTCTTCAGTCATTACCCCCAAAATGCTTGCTTGGTTTTTATGTAGGGATAAGTCTATCTCCTATTCTGGATGCATGACTCAACTCTTTTTTTTTTGTATTTTTGTCATTTCTGAATGCTACATGCTGGCGGCCATGGCCTATGATCGCTATGTGGCCATCTGCAGCCCACTGCTCTACAATGTCATCATGTCCCCTCAGGTCTGTTTGCTGCTGGTCACTGCTGTCTTCTCAGTAGGCTTCATTGATGCTATAGTTCATGGAGGTTGTATATTAAGGTTGTCTTTCTGTGGATCAAACATCATTAAACATTATTTCTGTGACATCGTCCCCATTATCAAACTCTCCTGCTCCAACACTTATATTGATGAGCTTTTGATTTTTGTCATTGGAGGATTTAACATGGTAACCACTAGCCTGACAATCATCATTTCATATGGTTTTATCCTCACAAGCATCCTCTGCATCCACTCCAAAGAGGGCAAGTCCAAAGCCTTCAGCACCTGCAGCTCCCATCTGACAGCTGTTCTTGTATTTTATGGGTCTCTCATGTCCGTGTATCTCACACCTGCTTCCAGCACTTCACCCATCCAGGATAAAGTGACCTCGGTGTTTTACACCACTGTGATTCCCATGTTGAACCCCCTGATATATAGCCTGAGGAACAAGGAAGTGAAAAATGCACTGATGAAACTTTTAAAAAGAAAAATATCTTCATAATGAATATGCTCCTTATTAAGGTGTATTCATGCATTTATAATCATGTTTATGTGTGAGTTTATACCCTGATGATTTAAAAATAATCCAAGGTGAGATGAGATTATTTCTATAGGTATATATATATATTCAGATTACTAAATATATACACACATAAGATTAATATGATGTGACAAAACAAGTATGAAAATGAAAAGTACTATATAACCTTTAAAAAAAAATTTGGGGGTCCTGGAGTTTAAACTCAGGGCCTCATGCTTGCTAAGCAGGTAGTCTACCACTTGAGCCACTCCACCAGCCCAATATATCTTAAATTTAAAGTTTAGCATTACTTCTGGGATTGAACATCAATTTTTTTCACTTATTTCCTGAATCCAGGCCAAAAAAGTGTATGTATGTGTATATATATAATATATATAATCATGGGATACTGATAGTTAATAGCAAATTTCAAAAAGACATTCCTCTTATGGAAATTTGTTTAGAACACATTGAACAGTGTGATGAGAATCATTCAAAAAATTTTGTAATGTGGAAGAATTTTTCTTATTTGTTTGTAAAGGGCTTATTAAAGGTCAGTGTTATATTAAAAAAGTGGAATTCTTTGAGGAAGATTTGGCAAAGAGGTAAGCTCCTATGGTCTCAGTGAATATATTTGATATTTGGCAATCCAAGGGAAAGACTTTCCGAGTCTAGATGAGGAGATGATGGTGAAAGTCTTACCTAACACCGTGTTTTTCGTGCAGTACTACTCTACTTTCTGTTTGGTTCTTTCGAGTTGGAATTTTCTCTCCATGCTGTACACTCAGTGTCTTTAATTTTCGTCACATAATATTTTTTTGTTATTGTTTTATTATTCATACATCATAAGTTTTTAATGAAACATAATGAAAAAGTTTGTGGTTTTCAAGAATGAACTTGTCAACCTAAAAAGCACGTCAAGACACACTGGGTTTGAGCACAGAGTTGATTTGAGCCCAAATGAAGAGGACCACCAAGAAAAACTGGTTTTATACACTAAGGCATAGAACATTAAAAGGGTTACAGCAAACTAGTTGTTACAATTGGGCTGGCATTGGTTGTCACTCACTTGATGTCATACATTCCAGGTTGGAAGTTTGATAAGTTGGAAGAAGATGCTGCTCAGTTATTTATTATTCTAATGGCATCAGTATGTTTACAAGGAACTGACTTCAAAGCATTAAAGGTTAAAATGAACTAGTTCATGAAACATTGGAATCCAGGAGATGTGACTGCTGTCCCACAATCCATATGTGACAGGCCTCATAGGAGCTTGCAGACCCCTTCCTTTTATTTAAGTCTTTAAAAAAAAGGTGATCAATCAGGATGGGTTTTAGTACAGTAATTCATTTATTCAGCTTATATGCCAGACACTAATTTTTGAGACATTAGATAACAGGGATCCCAGGAGTGTAATGTCTTAATGGAGGAGAAACACATGAGATGAGATGCATAATAATCTTGACTTTCTACCTGTAGGCACTGTCTAGACCACACCTCAGAGAAGGGGATCCCAAGCAGAGAATAATAGTTTTGCTGTGTTGAGGAGACAGATACTAGTTTGGGGAAGTGAAGGTACTTTGGGTATCTGGTGTACAGTGTCAGAGAGGAGGGGAATTATGCAGAGAAAGAGCCACACAAATCTGCATGAGATTTGACAACACCGGTGAGCTCCACAAGACTAGGCAAATATAATGGCTTGGAAGCTGTACAAGAAGCTCTTCTTAGTGCTCATGGAGATCTGCCACATGTGTCAAATCCATCTGACCAGAGAACAGAGATTTTTTTTTTTAATAATTAAGAGATTAAGAGGGCCAAGTTCTGCTTGAAGTAAAGACTATCTGGCTTTTAGAAAGGGAATTTATAGCCTCAAATGGCTTAATCTGATCAATAAATTACTATACTCTCAGACATAGCAAATTCTTTCCTTCCTTCCTTTCCTTTTTCTCTCTCCCTTCATCCCTTCTTTCTTCCCTCCCTTCCTCTCTCCTCTTCTCTTCTCTTTTCTTCTTTTCTTTTCTCCTCTCCTTTCCTCTTCTCTCTCTACTCTTCCCTTCCCTTCTACTCTCTGTCTTCTCTTCTATCTTTCTCTTTCACTTTCCCTTCCTTTCCTTCCTCCCTGTCTTCCTCCCTCTCTTCCTTCCTTTCTTTTTTCTCCCTCTCCCTACTTCCTTTTTTTCCTCTCTGTCTCCCATTCTCTTCTCTTCTTTCTTTCTTTCTTTCTTTCTTTCTTTCTTTCTTTCTTTCTTTCTTTCTTTCTTTCTTTCTTTCTTTCTTTCTTTCTTTCTTTCTTTCTTTTCTTTCTTTCTTTCTTTCTTTCTTTCTTTCTTTCTTTCTTTCTTTTCTTTCTTTCTCTCTAATTCCCTTCCTTCCTTCCTTCCTTCCTAGATAAAGAATCACTATGTTGCTTCAAGCTAGCCCTACATTTGCTATGTAGCCTAGGGTGACCTTGAACTTATGATCTTCCTGCCTCATCTTCCCTAATGCATATCCTCCCATATGTACCAATATGCCCTGTTTAAATAATTTCAACACTCATTAAAGTAAGACAACAACACAGTGCCAATATGTACAAGGTAATATTAGCAATGCTTGCATAGATTAGGAAATCATTATATACAAGAAGCAACAAATTATGCTTCATAAGGAAGACAAAAATCACTTAACAGAAAACACAGAAGCAATAGTTGATGGGATTAGAAGAAAACAGCTTTAAAACAGCTCTTATAAAAAAGATGTAAGGTCAAAAGAATAAGCCTGATGAAGACAAAATTAAATATATTTAAAAAATCCCAAAGTGTAACAGGTACTTAAAAAACTGCTTTTGCTGAAAAACTGATTCTTCACTTGGGCCAGAAATGTTCAAAGGGTAACCAAAGGCAGGATAAAAGCTTCGTATCTCTGACTGCATTTGGTATTTGTGTCTTTTGGTCTGAGCTATTCTGTCCTGTAGTCACTTTGCAGTCACCTTGGAATCCAGGAAGGACAGGATTGACGGATAAACATCCTGTAGCAGGAGTTGAAGTTGCCACCTGCCAGGTAACAATGACTTTCTTATTGTAACAAGCCTCTATGTACTTCCCCCACTCCAATCCAGTGATAATGAGAAATCTCACCACACTTTTGACTACCAGCCTATACCTATGACTGGGAATACTTAATAATTATACATCTCACTCCCTGACCTTCTGTTTAAACTAAAGCTCATCATGTCTGTATCCTGAAGATGGGTTGAAGAGGCTACTTTTCCTTTTCCCATAGTGTGCCGCTGTGTGTAATAAATTTCTTTCTCTGCTCTTCACTACCACTTTTCTCTTTTTTGGTGTAATGGGGTAAGTGGCCAGACATGACCTATGGAACCCCTGAAGTTTTTACTTCTGGTCTAAACTCCAGTTATGAAAGGGAGTAGCATTACCAAAATTGGGGTCCTCTGCAGAAACACTGGAAAATCAGCAAAAACTGTCAGAATCAACTTTGTTAGAACTTGATTTACAGCACCCACATAAATGCTGAATCAAGAAAGAGACAAGTTAAACAGGAAAATGAAGCTTTGTGGCATTTTACTTGGCCTTTTCCTAGCACTCTCCCAACTCCTGGGTAGATGTGAAGGTGGAATCCCATGTTCTTAGGGGCCTTAGTTCTGGAAGGAGCAGACCAGACTTTATTTTCAAAGAACTGTGCTTGTCTATTCTAACCTCTGGGGACCACCTGAAGGACAGATGACACAAGATACTGTACTTGCCTCTGTTTTGCCCAACTCAAACTGGGTTAGGGCAGAAAAACAGCAGGCATTCCTTGAAACCATGTCAAGCAAATGAACAAACCCCAAAAAGATTAAAACAGACAAATAATAGATCATTGAAAGCCTAGAAATAAAAGCTGAGAAGAGACTTTCTTAAGGTGTTCCTAATTGTCATGTACACTGGGGACTTTTGAAAGCCATGCATGGACCTGGGGCAAAACACATGAGAATTAAAGACCCAAGAAGATTCTAAACTTTTACCTCTGGCTGATCGCTAGAGTCAATGAAGTCAGAGTTTTAGGCCACAAGTCCAACTGCAGAGGTTCCACATGTCAGGTCCAGCACTTGTCCCAACACTCCCGATAAAGAGATGAGTAGAGGTGAGGGGAAGAAAAAGGAGATTATGTAACATGGGCATGCCTCAGAAGGGGCAACCTAAACCCTACAGCTCATCCTCTGGACACAGACATAAGCTTTAGGTTTAAATGGGTTAAAGGTGTGCATAGTTAAACAGTCCCAGATAGATTGGTCTGGCCAGTCTATCTCAGTTCTTGTTCTATGACGGGTGCCTGAGACGTTGTTGACTTTGTCATCACTTGGGGAGAGCAGTCTAGTTCCCATGAAATTATTGGGTCTGGAGACCTAAAGGCAGATGAGTGAATTTCCCATCCCCCCCTGGAGAGCACTGTGATTCCTGCATCCTGAGAAGGAGCTGTAAATCTGCATTTCTGTATCTTGAGAAGGAGCTGTATTTCTGCATCCTGAACAGGAGATACAGGGTCTGATAGATCTGCCACAGGGCTGATGAGCAAAATGCTCTCAAGATTGATCCTCCCCCACCAAATAAGGGGCAAACAAATCAGTTCATCTAAATGAACGTATCCAAATCCAGAGTTAAAGCATCCATAAAAACCCCAGCCTTCACCTGAGCAGGGAGCCACCCGTTTCTGGGCTCCACTGCACTGCTCTAGCTGTAGCCTTTCCTTTCTCTCTAATAAATACTACTTTATACACTGGCTTTGCCTCACAAATCAATCAACTGCCTCACAAGCCAGTTCCCTGGCTTGTGACATCAAGGATCCTCGACACTGCTCTGCAACATTTCACATCAGCACGTAACAAAATGATTACTCCTGCTCCAGGGTATAACCTCAGCATTATATGTAATTGTCCTCATTTGGGGGGGTGGTCTGTCCTGTAAGTTTCTGCTGATTCTTTCCTTGAGGATAGTTTCAGCTTTTGTCATAAAGATGTTATCAGTCAGTCCTGTCCTTGGATTTCAAGATGGCTGCAAGGTGAATGGTTCAGAGTAA